CGGCCCCTGCCTACCCCGAGAGCCAGGACTCGCCTTTGTTGCCAGAGCTGAGCATCTTCTCGGCCGCCCTGCCTGTGCAGCTCTCGGAGGGGCTTTCCCCCAGTCTCCAAGGCTCCCTGGAGAGCCCCGTCCACTTCTCCGAGGAAGACCTGGACTTTTTTACGAGCGCACTTTGTACTATAGATTTGCAACATTTAAATTTCCAATAGCGAGCCCCGCTCCCCGCCCGCCTCGCCGTTTCTGCCCCTTCCAGGCGCACCGGCCTCATCCCGAGCCACTGCCCCCCTGCCTACCCCGAGAGCCAGGACTCGCCTTTGTTGCCAGAGCTGAGCATCTTCTCGGCAGAGTCCTGCCTGCAGCTCTCGGAGGGGCTTTCCCCCAGTCTCCAAGGCTCCCTGGAGAGCCCCGTCCACTTCTCCGAGGAAGACCTGGACTTTTTTACGAGCGCACTTTGTACTATAGATTTGCAACATTTAAATTTCCAATAGCGAGCCCCGCTCCCCGCCCGCCTCGCCGTTTCTGCCCCTTCCAGGCGCACCGGCCTCATCCCGAGCCACCACTGCCAGCTCCCCCCCGTCTTCTGTAAGGGGGTGGGGGGCCGCTCCCCAAAATAAACCCAAGCCATTTCTCATTCAATCACCCCATCCCGCCCCCCAAGCACTTTCTTTTAAAGCTCCTGACACTGTGGGACCCGCATCACCCTCCCAATATTTATTCTAGAAGGCTCACATGACAGAACAGCCCGAGTTTTGCTAAATGCAGGTATTTAATTATAGTTTTATTTTTTTTCTTATTTATTTTAAAGAAAGCACTCGCTAGTTCTCATGCACATCAGAGACGTCAGCCCCCAAGAGAAAACATTTGTAAATCCTTCAAGCGACTTTCTCAGGAATCAGAACGAGACTTTTAGATTTCTTAATAAAATAAAATTAAAAAAAAAAAAACAGAGGAATTTTCTTTCCTCTTTTTAAGTTTTAGATGTAGACTATTTATTCAAATCCTTTAATAGTAAATGGCAAATTATTTATTGTACATTATTTTCATAGAGTAAATAAATGTCTTTAAAACCAAGAAACGTGCGTTGCTACATATTTCATTCGAAAATGCGCAGTTTTTTTGCCTGAATCATTCGCCTTCCTCTTCCCCGCTTTGCAGTAATGATGTCCTAATAATCTCCTTGTGTGCATTGAGAGAGGAGACAAAAGGAATTGCTCCCAACTAACATTTCTGGAGGCTTCGGGAGTCAGAAATATTTGCTACGTTCAGTTCTGTCTGCATTTTCCTTGAGCTTGGTTTTTATTTATTTTATTTTTTACTAAATCGAAGCGGGACATTTGTTTCTAATTTTAACAACTGCCGTTATACTTTTGTAGCTGAAAATCCCTCCTGTAAGGAAGTCGCCGGGTGAGGGGATGGAAAGCAACACAAAGGCAGCGCTCGGAGAGGCGCCGGGGCCGCGCCGGGGCCCGCGGCCGTTCCGCGGAGCCCCCGCACATTCCGCGGCTGGGGCTGGGGGCGGCGGGGCCGCGCAGTTC